TATATATATATATATATATTGTCTGCTATTATTTTTGAGAGCGATTATCAATATATATTTCTCATTATTTTTTTTACCAAACAGACGAGGATCGTTCGATGAAGGAGCGACAGAGTACGATGAGATTGAGAGACCAGTAGCTTATCAGAGGGTTTTGACGACATGGTCGCAATGGGTCGAAAACAATGTGGATAGCAATCACACCAAAGTCTTCTTCATGAGCATGTCTCCTCTACATATGAAGTAATCCCATTTCCATCTGCTTTCTTCACCTTTGTGCTTTTATGTCAAATGCTTATAAGCCAAAAGTTCTTAATTAAGTTGATCAGCTTATAAGTACTTTTAGTTTGATCAGAACTTTTCTCTAAAAACTTTTGTATCCTCAAAGTACCATTTTAAAAACAAAATCGCTAACTCCCTCGTCATTTCATGTTTTGTCATTCTATTCCTTTTCAATTAAAGATATTTTATAATTATATATTTTCGTAAACAAACTTTAAGGATATCATAATTATTTTAATAGAAAAAACTATTTATGTACTTTCTACCATCCCAACTAGTTATTATGTAGCAATTTTATTACTTTCATTTTAAATATGTAAAATAAATCAATTTCAACACCTAAAGCCTTATTTTAACATTTAATGTCTATCAGCTATTTTTAACCAGCCAACCGAACTCTAGGCCCAACTGTGACAATGCTTTGAATTTTTTCTTGGTTAACCACTTACAGGAGTTCGGATTGGGGCAATCCAGAAGGGATAAAATGTGCAAAAGAGACAACCCCAGTATTAAACACATCAATGCCTCTAAATGTTGGAACAGACAAGAGACTATTTGTAATAGCATCAAATGTTAGTCAGTCCATCAATGTCTCTGTTGACTTCCTCAATATTACCTCTCTATCGGAGCATAGGAAAGATGCACACACCTCCGTCTACATCACTCGGTATGGCAAAACGCTGACGCCGGAGCAACAAGCTGATCCAGCAACATACGCTGATTGTATTCATTGGTGCCTTCCCGGATTGCCTGACACTTGGAATGAGTTCCTCTATTCACGTATTATATCTCATTCTTGGCACTAAAAAGTTTCTTCCTCATATTGAAGTGGTGTTCGTTCAGTTTGTGCACACTTTAATTATTCCATCAAGTACGCATTACCGATAGGCCCTTCGTTGTGCAGCTTCGTACTCTAATTGTCTATAATTTTTTGAATCTTTTTTGGTTAAGAATCAAAATTCTAATTTTGTTGCTTCTTTTATTTTTTTTCTTTGTCCTTGTAATATTTTCCTCAAGATAAGAAAAATATTTGCAGTTGTAATTTCCTGGGAGATTTGCACAAATAGGATACTTCAATACCCGTTGTTTAATATTTGTCTTAATTTGAAGAATTTATATAAAAATATCTTTTTAAATTTTTAAAAATTTGATCTAAAATATCCTCCAACCTAAAATAGGTGCTCTTTGTAGCAACTACAAAAGAACAAACTATAAGGTCCACCAATAGCAGGTAGGAGTGGCAAACGGACAGGCGGGTCGAAAGCGAGGTAATGCAAAAAACGGATAAAGTATTCGATCCGACCCATATTTAATACGGATAAAAAATGGGTTAACATGTTACACCCCATATCTTCGTACAAAAGAGTATTTGTAAGTCAATTGATGTAAGCTCAGAAATGAGATCATCTTTGAGAGTACATAATGTAAGTTAATCATGTTACCTTGGAGATTATAAATCTTTAAGATAATGGATAACACGTACCAAGAGGATTGAAAGGCTAAGAAGCTAAACAAATTGAAGAAAATAAGTTTCGCCGAATGTCGACAAGTTAGGAATGTTATAACGTGTACTTTTGTGATGAGACTAGGATGCTTAACAAGATAAGGAGGTTATGTTATGAGTTATTTTAGTCGTATGATAGTCATGTATTATGTTTTTAAGTCAAGCAAGTTGAGGAACAAATGTTGGCAAAGGTCATCACAAGTTACATTCATAAATGTACTGAAAATTAGGTCAAATGTAGATGCAATTTTCTCCCTATTTGCTTCGAATTATGGGGTTATCTACCTATCAAATTGAATATCTGTGAGTCTAGTTTCTAACGCATTAAACTGTTCGTCGATACGACATCGGAGTAGAGAGATATTTGTATTTTCGCGAGACTACACCAAACAGCTCTCTATGGGACCCACAATGGCGGTTGAGATATATTGATATAAATAATAAGACGCCACAAGCCCGTTTTAACACATTATTTTTCAGTATCTTCAGACCCTAGACAGCTAAAAGTACTCTCTCAAGGTTCTCTCATGATCCAAGACCCAAACAAAGGGCAAACAATACAAATCAAGTGTCGGGAATCCCGTCGCACTAGTAAGTTTCTTATTCTTCTTGTGTTGCTGATTTTTGGGTAGTTCCAGCTTGAGTGGCAGTTTTTTTAAGTGGTTTAAGTTTTGTAAAATGCTCTCCCAAGGTTTTCATATCAACCCTAGGTTATTTCAAGTCTTGCAAATGAATTACACCATATTTCAACATCAAAAGTTCGTTCTAGTGAAGCACAACACCTCTTTGAGGTTGTGTTATCATTGAGGATAGTTGTGGGCTGTGCGTTGATACCCAATTTTTCCCTATAATATTTTTTTCAAAATGCATATATACCTGCAAAACTATGCATTAGCATCAATTAATATTTTTTCATAATTTCTGCATTTTTAAGGGTTTTAATTAATTTATCCCAGCATTTTTATTTATATAAACAATTACTAATTGCATCACAAATAGTTTTATAATAATTTTGTGGCTTAATTTTATTATTTTCATTTGTACTATGTTTTAATTATTTCACAAATAGCCATATTTGCATTTTTGGGGTTATAATTGCAATAACCTTGCAATTATAGCTCATGCGTGCATTATTACATTATTTTACCTGAAAATAGATTTTTGTATTTTTTAAATACTGAGTAATTATTTTAAAATATTTCTAGGCATGAAAATCATTTTTGTTTGTTAATTATTTTTTTAAAATTATTTTTATCAATTAAATTGGTATTTAACAAATAGCCCTTTTTATTTCGAACCTAGCCTAATTAAACTCAGCCCAAACCAAATTAAAACTTAGCCCAATTAAGTCCAACCCACCCCAACCCAGAACCAATCGTGACTGTTGATCTCTAAGATCAACGGTCCATATCACCCATTTCCTATTTTATCCCTAAAGACCCCTAAACCCTAGTCATTTGTCACCACCGGCCGCCCTGAAACCCTCTCTTCTCTAGTTCTCTCTGAGATCAAACTTTAACCCTAGCGGCCGCCACCCAAAACCAGCCCTAATCCCTCCGATTCTCACTCGATCCATGGATTTCCATTGGTGTTTGAGACCCCTACTGACCTCTTACTTCCTCTGGTTGCTCGATTTTGTGATTTCATGGAAAGATCTCGAAGAGATCTAGTCATCTTGTTCAAAACTCTCTAAGAGTCCGTCTATGGTTTGTGAGTGCTACTCTCTCGATGTTTTATGGTTCAAAGCCAGATTCTCTTTACCCCTCCCCTTTTCCTCAAAACCCTAATCTTTGAACATGAATCTGTCCAGATCTTTGTAGATCTGAAACGATTCGAGCATTATTTGGCGTTTTCCCTCAAAAATCTTTTGTTTTGGTTAACTGCTTCGATTTAATTTACCTTCTTCTAAAAACTAGGGTTCGTCCTGAGATTTTCAAAAGGTTTTTAACTTTCAAATGTTGAATCTGACAATCCCTCTACATGTTTGATTAATTTTCGTGTATATGCTCAAACCCTAGATATTATTGTTTGTGACACTGAGTTCTTCAATTTTTTCTGTTATTGTGTTTTTTTTCTGTGAACCAGTTATATTGACTGATTCTATTTTAAGTTTTGAATAATTCTTTCCTGTTAAAATCAGTATTTGTTGGAATTTTTACTGATTGATTTCTATTAGGGATTCGAATAATTTTCCTGTTAAAATTGATATTTTCTGAGATTTTTACTTGTTTCCTTATTTGTGACCTTAATTAATTATACTTGCCTTAATTAATTATCAGTACTGATTGGGGATTTGACTGACTCCCTATATGGTACGATATTGGTCACTTGCCTTATTTGAGCCCTAGTTCTGTACCATTAATTGATTCTCCTCAATTTAAGGGGTCTCTTCCGGATTTTCCACAGGAATTGATCCCCTAATTAGCTGATTGATTTTATTTGTTTTTTTTACAGACTGTGATTTCTTCTTTACCTTATTTGTTTTACCACACTAAGTGCTATATATACCCTCTCATTCTGATTCTTCAAACACGAATAATAGTTCACAAACACACTCACACACAAACTCTGCCCTCATCTCTCTCTGCTACTTGTGTTCATTGCTTGTCTAGTGGGCTGAAAGCCAAGACTAGACTGTTGAATCTTGCCTACTTTACCTTCTGCTTCTGCTTCCTTAACTGGTATACTCTCACTATTGCCATTCAATTAAACCTATATGTTTCTCTTACAATCAGTATGCCTTCTTCTGAACCTGTATGTTTTCCTACTCAGCATGTCTACTACTTTTTTAATTCAACTATATGCCTTGTTATCAGTATGTTCACTTTCCTGTTATTAAACCAGTAGGATCTCTATATCAGCCTGCCTATCTTTGATTAAACCTATGTGCTTCATATTGTTCCTAATCAGCATGTGTACTTCCATTCAATCAGACTATACGCTTCCTGCTATTCAATATGTTTCCTTATAATTAACATGCCTTCTTTCTGCTTAATCAAACAGATGTGTCTGTTGCAATAGTATGTCTACCTATATGTTTACTGCAATAGCATGCCTACTTCTATTTGATTGAACCTATGTGTCTTGTTTTCAACCTGTTTACTCATATTTTAGCCAGACCTATGTGCTTCTACTTTCAGCAAATCTGTATACTTGCCTATGTCTAAACTGGACCTATGACTACTTCTCCACTAGCATGCTCTTAAAATGTTCACCTTTCATAATATGACTCTCCAGCCCTAGTATCCCTCTGTATGTGACGGAATACACCCCTAGTGACAGTTAATTAACTAAGTGAAAGCTCTAAGTTACCATGTTCCTGTGTAATATTTGATTGTTGGGACCTTTTTTGAGTCACAATGATTGAATGACCTTATTTGCTTCTTTACTTCCTGAGAATCTAAACTATTTTTTTCTTAAAAAACTATCTCCTGTTTTCAACTCCTATTCCTAGAACACCTAGGGTTTTGCCCCTCCAATGTGAGCATTGCTTAGGAGTCCATGAGACTCCTCTGAACTTTGACACACTGGAGTTGGCTTTCCAAACTTGCTCACAAAAGGTTACTTTTAAAGTTTTTTGGTATGAGCATTGCCCGGGGTCCCTGAGGCCCTTGGGAACATTGACACACCAGGACACTATTGGGTGCACTATGAGGTTATGGCATTTTTGGACGGGTTGAAGGCCTGGTCTGCCAGGTTTATCTTTTGGTCCTATATTCAGGCTCCCTATAGTTGTAGCAATTTCACGTCTACAATTCACTGTTAATGTTGGTTTGTAATAATAATTTCTTGTAAACAGATATTGGGAAAATTAGTAAAAGGGAGGGATTCTTATACATATCCTGTGGGGAAAGGGTAGATACCATGCCTATAGGTTGTTATAATATTTGTTTATTTAGATACCATGCCTATAGGTTGTTACAATATTTGTTTATTTAGATGCCATGCCTATAAGTCGTTACAATATTTGTTCATTTAGACATCATGCCTATAGGGTTCAAAAAAAATTGATCCTGCATTCTAGATAACATGCGTGTAAGTTTGCTGCGATGTTTGCTTAGATACCATGCCTATAGGTTGTTACAATGTTGTTTATTTAGATACCATGTCTATAGGAGGTCATTTTTTTTTAATCCGTCCTACCTGTAAGTTTGAAAAGAATCAGCTTCTGCATACTAACAAGGTTTAAATCAGTCTACTGCATGTTTTAAAACTAATTGCTGCATTTGGATGCCATGCCTATAGGATTCCAAAACCAATTTCTGCATTTATTTACCAGTATCTATGAGTCTAAAATCAGTTATTACACCTAGACAGCATGCCTATAAGACTTAATAAACTCGAATCGTTTTAAACTGATTCCCAGAATTCTAATTGCATTTAGACAAAATATTTATAAGGTATTACAGATCTACGCCTAGGCAAGCCTATAGGTAATCAAGGTCTAATAAAAACTGAGGAACTATGCTTTGCTTATTTGTGACTGCCCAGATTCAACAGGTTTTAAAATCGGTAGGCAAATTGATTAGGTCTTTTGCACTTTGCCTTAACTCAATGCTGCATATTCTCTGCTTGTCATGCTCACCT